CCTGAGGTCCCTTCCAACCCTAATTTTCTATGATTCTGTGAATCACAAGCTGAATCCAGAAAATTCAAATGTGAACCTATAGTGTCAAAAACAGTCTAACCTGTTATGGTCTGTCTTTGCAAGAGAAGAATTGCTCTACTATTTTTCTAGCATCATAAAGTGAGTGAAAGCTAAGAGCTGGCATTTTTAGAGGATTGCCTTGAAAACCACTGTTCTAGTCCCACTTTAATTAGTCAAGATAGGACATAAGTAATCTTCAAGTAATAGATAGGCCTTGTACTAGTTACCTGCAGGAAAAGAATTTCAGACAATAAGGTCAAAGTGGAGGTATTAATACATTTATCAACCAATAGACAAAGGGCCAGATTCACCTACAGAATTATGCTGGCATGAGCCAGAGTAGATCTTTGCGCAGGGCTCCATTATCTGGCACTCAACCAAGGAAATGGTTGAAGCAGTGCAGAACAGCCACTGGGCTTTACCATCTACCCAGTTTCACTGGACTGAAGAGGGCCAGAGTCTCAGAAATAGATAGTACTGACTAGGCACAAAGCATAGAAAGAAAGTGATAGATTTAACACATTTCCTCTGCAGTTATCCTTTAAGTGAAATGACTATCATGTGCAGGCAGCTTAGATAAAGTGGAGAGGTATATTTTATCCAACCCTGCAAGACCACTGGTGAGAGATACATACACAGAGAAAAGTACAAAGTTCAGTCAAAGAAAGAAAGAGGGCCTCTGAGCAGATTACAAAGTAAGGTATTTGGGACAGCAGACCATGTAAGAGCTGACTCAACATATCTGTAAAAATTACAAGAAAGGCAGAGCAGAGCATGAGAAGTAGATAAGAATGAAAGAAAACCACTTCCTAAGTATGCAAAAAACCTGGGGTCATTGATATACTCAAGCCGGGAGGCTGCTCCAACACACTAGTTAAAGCGTGTCAGAGCAGACTTGATTACCTGAGTCTGCTGGAGTGTGGCAATTGCCATGCTCCAGCTAGCCTCTGCGTCTTGTGTATCAGTGCCCCCACACTTCAAAATGGTGACGAGGACACTTAAAGCTCATCTGATGAGTTTTAGATAAAGTGCCCCCACCTCCATTTTGAAGCATGGGGATACTGATACATGAGATGCTCTGGGAACTCTGCGAGCTGCTCTAATTAAAGTGCCTCCTCCCTGTCCTCCACCCCCAAAGCACATGTAAAAATGCCCTGAGATAATAAGTTAAGCCTCCTTTCTCCCCTCCCATTCTGAAAACAGCTTGAGGCTGGCAGGCAGTACAGACATAAGTTACAGAAGACATTCTGTTTTGAAACATCTTCATCAGAACTGTCATGCAATGAGGGTTCAGATTTTCACTGGATCAGCCATTTTTGAAGCAGTCTGCAGATGTGCACTTGTGTTTGGTTAGGGCTATAAACTGCTTTCTGTGGCTGGATCGGGTGAAAATTGTCACTTCTGTCAGCTCTGCGGCTCACAAAGACACTCTCATGGACCCAGAGGGACAGCCTTCCATTTTCAGCTCCCTCTGTGAAAAAATGAAGTTTATTTCCTACCGATGGGGACTTTTTTATCATCTTGTACCATCTACACTTTTCCCAGAGCCTGATGAAGGGATTTTGTTTCCAAAAGCTTGCAGAAAAGGACAATTTTCTTATGATTTTCCCAGTTGGTCTAATAAATAGTATCATTTTGAAATCAAGAATTCTAGTTTTTTGTATGTCTTTTTGTCTCAGACCAACACGGCTACCAAGTACACCCCTAAATATACATTTGGCACTTTTATAGTCTTTTTTCACTTCTTTCAAAACACTTTATGAGGTGAACAGACTACCTTTTATAAGGAATGTGCAACACCTACAGAGCTATGTTATGCTGTACAGCTGTGTGAATTTTGACCAGTCACTCCCATCAGTGCCAGAACCAGGAATAGAACTGTGACTTCCAGACTCATTCTTGTGCCCTATCCACTAGCACTGGAAGACTATGGAGAATCAAGAAAGAATCAAGAAAGGAGGGAGTAGCACACTGAAAAATAAAGCTAACAAGAAAAAGTACTTATGAAAAGGAAATAAATATTAATCAATTTTTATTTTTTAAAAAAGGAATTACCTTCCCGAAGCAAAAGTGCCTGTTCCACTTTGCTATTGGGGGCTGCAAGTTCAAGGGCACATTTGAATTCAGCATTCCTGCACTTCAAGCTAGCACCATAATCCGTTAACAAGTTAATAACGTCTGCACTGGATTTCCTAGCTGCAGCATGAAGTGGGGTGTCCAATCCTTTACCCAAGTCAACATTGGCTCCTTTAAAGAACACACATACACACACAGAGAAATGAACAGACCACAGTTAGCAGGCCACAGTTACCATTCACTTTGTTCTTCATCATTTAACTTAAATGCATCTGAGGATATGCAAGAGTCTTCCATTACCACAATTATCTTGTGATAACTGTAGTGCTTAGTCTCCACAAAAAACAGACTGCTATAATAATAATCTTCAAAATACTTAGAAGCAAAATCAGAGCAAGATAGAAAATAAAAAAGTTGAGCAATTGTTGCGTCTTTTGACTACCTATTTTAAAACAATGTTTAAAATCTATTGTAGTAGTCATCAGATTAATTTAATTACTTTAGAAGAATTGTAAGTAAAGCATTTATCTGGGGCTAATAGAGAGACACAGATTAGGCCATATTCTTTGCTTGTGTAAACTAGCATTGATACATAGGTGACAAACATATATGTCATTGAGAAGCTGTCCTGTTGTGTAGGGCTCTTTATAGGGATTACTCTAATGAGCATCTTCTCTTTGGATAAATGATCTTCCCTCTGTATTTAGTGAGCAGTGGATGAAGTGAATGCTTTGCCTGGCTCTTGATTTTCTGACACTCTAAGGGAACTGATTCAGACCACACGGTA